AATTGGTCAAAAAGGGGTCTTGACACTGTTTTTGAGTTTTTTTGGGGTTATTTGTAAGTATTTGTAGCGTGTTTTAATCTTTAAAGAAAAATTTAGGGAATCTGGGGACCGCCAGTAGACACAGTCAACAGTTTAGCTTTTCAGATATCAAATTGAGTAAAAATTCCTCACTCTACTCTCTGTTACGGAATTGAAGTCTAATTAACAATAATACGGTAAATTATATAATATAAGATTCATAATTAATTACGGGTTATTAATGGAGGCATAATCGGAAACTATTCATTACTGATTCTGTTGATTTATTTTACGGTTTAAATGCATGATAGTATTTGATTGATCGATTTTATAGTTTTGAATGGTTACGGTTGAATTGGGGAACTGGAGGTTAAAGGTAAACGGAAAATTGTGTGATTAAGTGAATTGATGAAACGGCAGCCTCACTGGATATCCTGAGAGATGGTGGACAGATCGGGTCTATTAGGAACCTTGCCGTGAACGTTGTCTCATATCGGACGGGGTATCGATACTTGGTAATTTGGCGCTCATACCGGATGGGGTATGGGGACGACCCATTTCACCCTCATACCGAACGGGGTATTGAGATTTAGTAATTTAGTGTTCATACCGGACGAGATATGGGAACGGCCCGTTAATTGAAAATGTTAAAAGAAAGAGTTCACGCGTAGTGGGAATATTCCTGTTGACCGGCATGGATACCAGCAGGCTGATGAAAAGGGACAGTTGTTGTTTTGATTAATTGAACATAGAATTATAATATGTGCATGTTATCGATTGAATATGAAATTATGATAAATATTATATTATTGTTTCTATAGATTGTTTTTGTAAATCTCGTTATACTAAGTGAACGGTAAATGATTTTATTATTGATAAATAAATTTTCTTAATTAAGTGCTCCATTAGTCATTTTTAATTTTTTTACCAACTTTCATTTCTGTGTCAGTGAGTAGCGTGATATTCTTACTGGGTTAGTGTAGCTTATTCCTTATTTAAACCATTTTATATTAAGAGAATCAGGATTTGGAGTCCGATCCACAAGAGAACTGTGAGTAGGATGCAAATTTTATTTTATTTTCCGTTTGTTTCCTTAATTTTTTGTATTTCCTTCAAAAGGATAATTCTCGTATTATTATTTGGTACTTTAAGTCGTTGTATAAGGAATGTAAACCCTAACGAATTATTTTGCTTCCACACTTAATTTTTTATTTATTTTTCCTAAGCCTTTAATCCACCTTCAATGCACTCAGAAAAATTTCCACTTCATGTTCCAATGTGAGAACATTGGTGACGTGGTAGGGATGGAGAATGATCATTTTAACTCCTAAAACCTCACACAACGTTGCAGTAAGAAGACTTAACTACGTAATTCACACTCCCTACTTGAATCACACCCAATAAAGTGAATGTTATCAAGATAACTAGGAAGAATAAAAAATACTAGAAAAGACGTCACGACTTACCTAATAAGTCAATTCTAACTCCTCGGTTCAACAAGGCAGTCTGAAGCTTCCTAACTTTAAGACACTTAAAGAACACTCTCATAAAATTTGTAAAAGCTAATTCAAAGCCAAAACTTGAAATTTGATTGAATCTTCAAAAATTGTAGATTATGATTACAAGCTTAATGGTGAAGTCTTTTTATAGATTTCAATTTTCTAATATTATTAGAAGTAGATTTACATATTCTCACTTGAATACTTAAACATAAGTTTACTAATATATTTATTCAAAAATAATAAAATAATTAAATGCTAATCTAGAACTCAAAAAAATAATTAAAACAATTATTAATTTACTTGAAGAAGAATTCGTTCCTCTTGGCCGAATCTCTATAGATCTTTTTATCCTTGTCTTGACTTCAATTTGGTGTAGAATTCCTTTAATTTGTAACATGGAAATCATATGGGGATAAGGAAAAAGGAAGAGGAGTCCTTCTTGGACTCAAGCTGGCTGTTTGCATGAAGTAGGTGCGCGTGGTGGAAGCTTCCTCGCACACGTGCGGCAGGGACAGCCCGCACAAGTGCACTACTACGCACGGGCTGCTCCTGTGTGCCTTGTGTGTGTGCGGTAGCACTTTTCCACACTAGCGCATTCCTGGCACATGATTCTCATGCGCGTGCTGCCCGCAGGTGTGCGGGGCTTTCCATGCATGCTGTGGCTGGCTTATCCCGCTCATGCGCACCTCCCAGCGTGCGGCAAGACCTGTTTATGTGCGTAGATTCCTTTTCCGCGTACTCAAGCCTAGGCCATTCGTGTGGGTTGCTCTTGGGAGTGGATGGCCTATCCTGTACGGCCGCACAAGTCTGCGTGTGCACGACGTCCGCCTAAAGGCACAACATCCTTGGGCGATGTCTCTTCTCGGCCATGAGGCCATGTTGTGCCCTTGGTTTGGACCCAACCTTGATCCACTTTCTTTTATGTGCATCTCTGAGCCCATGGGTTTCTTCCTGGGCCTTTAATCCACCTTCTGGATTTGATTTGGGCCCTTCTTTGTGACTAATACCGCTTAGGAAAGTTCCAATGAGTGTCCTTACTTTTCTGTTTGAGATATTCTCATTAGGAAACGACGCATGCCCAGAATTGCTTTCCTTTTTAATCGGGTAGGCTATCTCCCTTCGGGGGCACTTCCTAATGCGCTATTGGGGCATGCTACTGCGTGATTGCTTACGACCTCTTGCTGCCACATATTTGTGAATGCTTGGGTTACGAAAATATTCTCCTATGTGGATCTCCCACTTGTCACAGGGTTTGTCCTGGTTCCTTATCGCATCAATTGGCCTATGAAGAGAGACTTTCAAATTGATGTTGATATTCTGCCACTTCGCCATGCTGCCATAACTTATTGAGTTCCCCGAATTTGTTGCTCAAGATCGCCAGACAAAACATAATTGATAGAAATATTTAAAATTTTCCCAATTCAAATCTAGCCAATCTCTTTCCAGTTCCAAAAACCATAACTAGGCTTCACATTCTAAATGGAATGAAGTCAGGTAGACCTTTTCCTCTTCTGTGGTAACTTAATGACAGAAAAGATGTTCACATAGAGAGTATAATTTAGCATACCTCAAAATAAAAGGAGCAGCCTTGTCGGCCACATGATCATTGTTGTGGTGATGTTGGCACCCAGGCTGTGCACTGCCTTCGCCATTTTCCTTCTGATCTATTTAGCATATAGAAAGTTCCTCCAGGCATCCGTTCAAGATCTCAAATTTGATACAATCTTGTTGATGATCTTCTTGATATGTCTTCGCAAAAGACTCGAACATTAGATTGCAAATCATCGATAACTTTTAGCTCCGACATCAAATTGTTATTCTTCGTTCTAATAGGTCTAGTTGTGGGATATTTAACATGAATACTTGCAGAAATTTTTGAGTATTTTCGAGTTTCTTACCTTTATCTGTTCTGAAGAAAATTAGGACTCGTTAAGAGATAACTCTACGATCTCTTGAGTAAGTGCTCAATATTTTTGTAGTTTCCTCCCACATCTTTTATAGATTATAAATATGGATTTATAGAACAGAAGTTAAAGGAACAGTTCTTGTTCTTGGCAGAAAATAGTAACTGCAGCAACCGTCCCTAAGAACTGCTAAAAGCACTCTACAAAAACGACTGTGCTGCTTATGAATAACTACTAGAACTTTTCCCATATATGCTGGTAATTTTAACTACGAAAATCTTCTTATTTACTAGGCTTGAACAATTTTAACAAATACTTGACAGAGTTTTTTCCCCTACATGCTGCCCATATAAAAATATATAAAAAAACTCATAAACACATATAAAAAAGAGTCAAGTACTACCTAAGCAGTGACTAATTCTGATTTTTTATTATTATTATTATTTTGGTGCTTGGGATCCCTGATAAAAGCAAAGGGTGATCATAAACATATTACCAATGAATTGCTTTCTGAAAATTAGTCCAAATTAAACTTTTGGCAGCAAGAAGATGCTCAACTAGTGAGTCTCCTTTGGAATACTATGCAACTTCATGATGCTGACTGGTGTATTCATCTTGATTCATGCAAGAAGATATGAGATTATGTCAAGAACTTGTATGCTGCAAGAACTTGTATGCGGCAACATAACTTGGATGTATGGTTTGTCTCCAGAATTATTTATGATTCTACAAAGTAAAAAACCATTACTGAATATTTTGTTGAGTACAATAGGCTTATGATGAGTTGAATGTGATTCAACTGTAATAGCTTATGTGAAGGTGATGCAAAAGCAACACAAGTGACTATGTGATTCTTAGCGAGATTAAAATCAAAATTTGGCAATCACGCTCCCTAATTTTAGGAATGCTGAACTTCTTTCCTCTGGTGAAGTCTATGCATGAGCTTTTCAGTCTGTCTTGAAGGATACTTCCTCCCAACCTACTAATAGTTTCAATTATGACCTTATTATTGTTGGAGAGGGTGGCTAAGGGCAAGGACATGGTTGTGGTGGTCACAGTGCATAGTTGTTCTTATGATTGTCATTGTTGGGAATTGATTTCCAGACCACCTTGAATAGGAAATCTTGTTGCACCTATGATCCAAGTACAAGGCTTGACTTCTACTATGACAGAAGTTGCCAAGTACGGTGGTTCCTAAGAATAACTGTTCCAAATTCCTTAAGTGTCAGGTATCACAACTGGCTTCCTCTTTTGGTTGCCTCTCTTGCTGTGTTAGGCAACCATATTACCTGCCTCAGCTTCTGTTCGTACATCATAAGTCATAAATTTTGCTGCGACAAACCATATATAAGGCAAATTCTTTCTTTTTCCTTTTTGGTTCATACATAACTGATTCCAGCATTGACTGTAACTCTACTGTTCATCTGGCAAAAGGCAATAAAGTTCCTATGAATGGTGTACGACCTATTCGCCCTACATCATATTTTACATTACCTTTTGCTGTTTGCATTTTCAATTCTCTCTTATGTTTGTCAGCTAGTTAATGAAATACCTACCTTATTGTGTTGTTATTCAGTACTTGAAGAAGTAACAGAGGATTGGCAAAGGACGTGAACTTGAGGGCTTTTGCTATCTCAACTCTTCCTCTCCAACAGTTTATTCTGCAGTAGTTTGTCCTCTTCAAATTCGTAGTTATTCGGGTCATCCCTTCCTCTAGAAACTAAAGAAGCTAGTTCCTAGATTAGCACAGTAAAAGCATCATCTTGTTCATCTGTTTCTTGTGTCAATAAAAAAAGCTGAGGGTCCCTTTGTATCAGTTCATTCAGATGTTCGGGGTCCTAGTTAGGTGATCTCTAAATTAGATTCTGTTATTTTGTTGTTTGCATTGATGACTTTTAAAGGATGACATAATTTTATTTAGGGAAGTACCATTCAACATTTCCCTATATTTTGTACATTTTATTATGAAACATTTCCCTATATTTTGTACATTTTATTATGAAATTCAAACACATTTTCGTACGTCAATGTGTATTCTTCATTTTGAAAATACAAAAAGATATTTTTCACAACCTTCAGCAACATCCATGGCTTACTGTGGATGATCCATCATCCTCTAATGCACAGACTTCATAGTAGAATGATGTTGTTGGATGAAAAGTCCTTAATTGAAATGGCTCGTGCTCTACTGATTCATATGGATGTTCCTAAATTATTTTTGAGTGCCCTTGTTCTTACTGCATATTCATGCCTTCTTCAATTCTTCAAGCGTAGGTTCCACGTACTGTTTCTTTTTTTTCATAATACAACTTTTTTTTTTTCTCCACACAATTTTAGTTGTTTTATTCTGTTTATCAGCAAAAACATGGTCATATTAAGTTAGATCCAGAAGCTTTTAAGTGTATTTTGTTTTTGGTTTTTGATTTTATTTTTTTGGGTTTCTTGTGACCACTTATCTCCATCTGATCGTGTCTTTATCACCTCCTTTCCTATGTTTCCAATCCTAAGTCTGTCACATAAGCTCTTTCACATCTTGGTTGGAGATAGGCAATGGAAGAAGAGATTTCTGCCTTGAAGGAGAATGGTGCTTGGGATTTGGCTAGTCTCCCTCAGATTCCTGATGTCGTTAAGGTTTAATTTTGAAAGTTAATTGAATGGGTTAATTAAAACAAAGTATAATTGAAAATAATATTAAGCATAAGATATTCAATAATAAATATAAAATAACATTATATATATATTATTAAATATTTATTAATCAAAATTTGATTAATTTGAGTATAACTAGAAATAAAATTAAAATTTTATTAATTTTATATATAGCTGAGTGCAGGATGGGTATATCATTAAATCCATGCCTGATCGGCTGCAGAATGTACAGTCTTCTCTAGTTTTATAGATTTCTCTGTTAGTTCCAGAGGTACAATATCTCCTAGAGCTGAGTTGAGGATAGCAATGTCAGTAGTTCGAGTCAGAAGAGTTCCATAAACCATCATCTCCTTCTCCCTCTTTAGAAGGATTGCCAATTTTTTTGAATGGTGGAAGGATAGTCATTTTCAGTTCAATTAAGTGATTTCTAGCAGATGGATTCTGAGTGCTTAAGTTGATTCACATCATCCATTTTCTTGTAGGACAGCATATCATTGCATGGACCTCTTCAAACTGAACTCTGAACAGATAATTTAGATATTGTATTAGGAGTTGTTTTTTCCTTATAATACTGTCAATTATGAATTTGTTTTGTCAATTTTCTGGTGAGGTATATATACGACTTCTTGTTTTGCGAAGTTGATAAAATGCTTGTGGACTTTGATGAATAACCAACAATTTGTTTGGCTCACACTAAAATGTAAACCATAATAACAATATTCATATTTAATTCTCAATTTAACCTACTTAGCTCTGGAATAATTGATTTCTATTTCTACTTGTTAAGGTAGAGATGACAAATCATCTTAACTAAAATTAAATTTAGAGTTTAGATAGTAGAATATTGTTGTTATTTACCTCATTTCGTATTCCCATTCTAAAGAATTGAATATTAAGTAACGTTGAAAAGATAACTGTAACAACAGGGTTTAGCTTAAAAACTATTAAGCAATCGATAATTTTTTGTATTTTCCATTTCTTGATTGGAAGTTTGTTTCAACTCACATTTTCCGTTGCCAGAGTTGTCAAGGCTCTTCTGCTTGCTTTGCTTCCTTTATATAATGAGTGTATAGACTGATTTTATGTGTGCTTCCAAGATACAATTACACTTACACTTGGCAATCATCAGAAGAAAGAAAACAGTCTATGTACTCTTGCCGCACCTTTATCAGTACTTGCTGCAATGCGTCCCAACCATCCCATGAATGGGTTGTTTGTAATACACAGGCGTGAAGGGTAATGTGCATATCTTGTAATATTTGATCAAGAGTAGGGTCCAGATGGATCAAAGTTTGCTAATCTCAAGCTCAATCAGCTATCAGATCTGCATGCATCTTATGAACATAAAGTAGACGGCATGGGGTCGTTCAGTATGATGGTATGTACACAAACACACACACACACACACCAAGGAAAATCTGTAGGAATACGCCTCTTATATAACTTTATTGCTTTGAGATATAAACAAAATGTGATGTGTGACTTTAATTCTGATCTTTCTCTATTACATTGTGATATGAAATTCTCTAGCTTCTTTCCCAATATATTTATTGGTTTTTGCAGGCTAAATGCTAATTAGACAAAAATGACAAGAAAAATTGGAGCTGAAAATCTAACTCATTCTTCGCTAATCAGCCTTGGAAATACATTAGAGATTTTTTGGTTTTGCTGTCCAGAACAGCTGATTTTTCCACAAAGATAAAAATACATGGCTAATTTCTTTTTGGTAACTTAAGCAAGACAGAACATTTTCCTGATTGGCTTATGTAATAACACAAGCATTCCGCAACTAGTTAACCACTAGATAAAACACTTAACTTTGGACATGAACTTGAAACCTTAGGTGGACATCAAAAATGCCAAACAATGAAGCTCTTTTTGACATTGTTAGTCCCTTATTGAAGACACTTGCTGTCCAATAAGTTAACCTCATCATCTTTCTCAGCTTATTTCACATAATACTCTGTGATTTTGATATGTTCATTGCCATGAAAAACAGGATTCTTGATTATAGCAGCTGCTGATTGATTGTTAAAAAAATGGTTGTGGTTTTTTTTGTTTCAGTTTCTAGTCACCAAGCAATTTTCCTGTCCAAAAAGCCAGATCTATAGTTGCTACAACTGTAGTCTGCTTCATCAGTTTGATTGAGCAACTCTTTTCCTCTTTTCTGAATTCCAACTTATCACTCTAGTCCGAAGATGGAAAGAGTACCTAGAAGCATTTCTCATATAATCAACTAAATCAGTCCAATTACTGTCCAAAAGCCAGCTGAATTCACACTAGAACCCCTCATATACCATCTGTCGCAATCTGCAATTCGTTTGACATACCTTAAAAAATTTGTTCCTAACTTTGAAACAAAATTCAATTGGACTCTGCATGAGTTTAAAGAGCAGAATGAGTTTACAGGTCTATCTTGTGGCAGTCAAGTAGAGCAAGCATCATACTGGACTTCCTCAAGATTTTTTCTTGATTGATAAAATTCTGTGTATCAGTTTGATACATCTCCATTTCGAGAAAGTACTCCAAATTTGTTCATCTCAAAATTATTTTGCATTGGCTTTGAATTTGTTAACCAGTCTTTTCTCCTTCTAGTCGCAAAATCATCCACATAAAGCAAAATGATCAATGTGTCATCCCCTTTTGTGCATATACAAGATAGCTTCACTTGAGTATCTATTGAAGCCCAATTGTGGCAAGTGATATCAATTCTTTGATATTAGGCTTGGAGCCTAACTAAGTTCATAGAGCTTTCTGTAACAATAAACCATCTTTGCTCCTTCGACATCAAAACCTGGTGACTGGTCAACATAAATCTTCTTCTTGAAGAAGCCATTTAAGAAGGCTAACCTAAAGTAAGTTGATAAATCTTCCAATTCCTTTGAGCTGTTAAGCTAATGATCAATATTACATTGTCATGCCTTGTTTCTGGTGCAAAGGTATTAATAAAGTCAATCCCATGCTGTTAGGTGTATCTCCTGATAATATATCTGGCATCAATCTGTTAAATGAGCCACCAAGACTTGATTCTGCACATCCATTTGAAGTCCTATAACTTTCTGGTTGATAGGTTGACAATAAGAAACCAAGTCTTGTTCTTCACATTCACTTTTAACTCTTCCTCCATGGCTTTCTTCCATTCTAGTTGATTGTAAAGCTCCTTGAATATTGGTTTCCAATAGTATGCGTTGGACATATCATAAATGTCTTAATGAGTTCTTATATCCATTATTGCATAATCAGAGTCTATTTCACTATGAGGATCTGATCTCTCGTCCTCAGCAGGTATATCTTGACTCTCAACAACGTCTTGCAACACAAACTGATTTGCTGAAGCTTCAATTTCTGCTTTATCTCAATTCCAGTGAGCATTTTCATCAATTTTTCGTCTCGTGCCAAAATCACCTTTTCTATTTGAATCTGGAAGACTCAATAACCTTAGACATTACTGCTAATGCCCAACAAAATACTGACTAGAGTCTGTTCATTCAGCTTATCTCTTTTTAACTTTTGTAATAGAACATAACAATCGTCTTTGTCATGAAGCGGGTTTATGAGGAAAAAAGAATGAGATGGAGAACCGAGAACCTAAACCCATGATAGTGTATAAAAGGAAAATAGCTGGTAGAAGCGTGACAAATATTTGGTGAAATAAGAGCATGTGGCGTTAATTGTGCTAAGCATGAAAAAGGTGGGCGATGTGGGTTCAATCAGGGTAAAGAAAAAGGCAACATGGCAGAAATCAGGCGGGATCAGAGAGGAATTAGAGTTAAAGGAAGAGTCTTGAAATATTGTTAGATGACTAGGCTTTCGCGCGTTTTCTCCGTCATTATAACTATTTTCTGTTGAGATTTTTTAGGAATTCTTTTATGTTTCTAGTTTTTGTAGACTTTAAATATTTTGTAAATCACTTTGTCATCATGGTAAGTTTTGTTCAGAAAGATCTCAGTTTACAATCTCTCTAGACTATCTCTCCCTCTTTCTTCTCTCTTTTTACCTCCATTCTTCTTCTTTCCCTAATAAACCCTTCTTTTATCTTCATACAATATAACAGTCAGCGGGTACATGTCAAAGGTACCTGAGACGTTTTCAAACATACTCAAGTGCTTTAGGACTGGCTTTGTTCTGTGGTAAGCTCCGTCTAGTGTTTCTTCTTTCAAGGCTTTTGAAGGTAGCTGCTTTGTTCACAGCTTCCCCCTTTAATTCTTTGGTAATTATTTTGGATATCAAATATTTGGCCATCTCCATTATACTTCCAGTTTTTTTCTCACTCACCCTATTTTATCGAGATGTGTAAGCAATATCAAGTTGGTGTGTCTCCTAGCTTCATTATAGAACTTGAAAAAGTTCTTGTTGGTGTAGTCTCTACCATTATCTAATCTGATGGTTCTAATCTTCTCCTCACTTTGGTTTCTACCAAGGAAA